TAGTGTTGGGATTTACATGGAAAACACATTTGAAGTTTTACTTCTTTTAGCTTTCACATATTAGTACTTTGATGTAGTAGTTTGTCAATCGGGATGGAGTTGCTTCTCTGGCATTTGTTTATGTGGCAAACTTCTTAGACCTTTGATCTTCTGAATAATATCTTAGAAATATATCAACAATATCCTTTATATATATATATATATATATATATATCATCCATTATGTTTTCAAGGACAAAAACACTCTGCAAGGTAAAAGGTTTCTATACAAGATTGTTTTCAATCCCTGAAAACACTATGCAAAGTACAAGGTAGAAGGTAAAAAGTTTCTATTAAATAAAGGGTGTGTTTGGATTAGCGGTAATAAAACTAACTTTTATTTTAACTAACTTTTACAAACTTAAGTTAGAATAAAAATCAATTAGTATAATATGATTTATGTTTGGATTGACATTTATAAAAATTCCGTTGAAAAAGTTGAAACTTATTTAGATGATTAATTAAAAAAAAGTTTAGATGTAAAATGACTAAAAATGATATAAATTTTATTAAATAGTAGTATTTTATATTATATGATTTTAATGTGATAATTGTTAAAAAAATAATTTAAATTATAATCATAAAATAAAAATATTTGTTATTGAAAAAATTGTAATAAGGATTTTAAATTAGTAAAAAGGATTTAAATTAAAAGGCTTGTATAAAAATTTATTAAGTCTTTCTCACAAGTTAAAATTTTAGCGAAGACTTTTTTCTAATTTCCTCTAAATTTATTATTTAATTTCTTCTTTTTTTTGGGATACTTTTATAAACATACTCCCTTGATCCTATTTATAAGGCATTTTCAGCTTGTTTCATACAGATTAAGAAAAATCTTAAATTGCACTAACTCTTTATTAAAATATAATAATTTTTTAATTTTACCCCTATTTAATATATACACATTTCAAAAAAAAACTATATACATTATAATAAATAAAGAATAAAATTATATATCTATGCCAAAAAATTTAATGAAATGACTTATAAATAAAATTAAGAATAACTTTCTCTCTTTACCTTATTAAAGGGGTATATAATTATTAAGCATTTTTTTGAGTAATTTTTTTATTTTTATTAAAGCAAAATAAAACCCACCTTAAGACACTCATCTCTCTTCTCATAATCACCTTTTTTTCTCCCTCCATTTTCTCTCTCCATGTTCTTGAGGCCAAAAGTTCCTTTTAATTAGTTTTAAAACGCAACTAACTTTTGCTTCAAAAGTTGATTGGACTAAAAGCCACCAAATAACTCACAATACCTAAAAGCCCGGTTGGTTCAATTCCCACATGCTCAGATGATAATGCAATGCAATGCGAAGCAATGTAATGCAATGTTTATTACCATCAATATGTTTGGTATGTCATTAAGAAGATTAAGCAAAAAACTTTTTTTATATTTAATCAAAATGAAAAGTCCATAATACCCCTGAATATATAAAAAAAGAAAAAGAAAAAAAAATCAATCATTGCCGGATTCACTATATTTTTAGGAGGGGTGATAGTGATGGCAGGGACAAGGGTGGCAGCAATAGCAGTAATGGTTGTGATGGTTGTAGTAGTGGTGGTAATGACAGCAGTGAATGTGGTGGTTGCTAGGGCACTGGGGGGGCGGTGGTTGTGGCAGCTGCGGCAACAAAGAGAGAGGTGACGGCAGCAACAACCAATGTGGTGGTTGCTGAGAGTGGTGGTGACAAGAGGGAAGGTGATGACAGTGGTGGTTGTGGTGGTGCCGACGATATTTTGGTAAATACTATAGGAGCGGCGACGGCCGCGGTGGAGGCAACAATTGTAGTGATGGTGACGGTAGTTCTGGTGGTGACAGTAGGAGTGGTTGTGGTAGCGGTAATAGCGACGGGGTGATGGGTAGAATGAACTAATAGAAATAAAAACAAATGAGCTTAAAGGGCAAATTGGACTTTATCAAATATACAATGGGTGGTAATGAGCATTCATAGAGGGGTAGGTATGAATGGTGATTACCAATGTTTTGGTAATCATCATTACTATGGTAAAACCTATTACCCTACTAAAGAGCAACCAAACACCCTTCTCTTGTTAATACAATCACAATTACCATTACAAGTATGCAATGGGGTTGAACTAAACAGGCTCTAAATAAATTCTAAACCTTAATTCACATGCTCCAAGGCACTTACTTGCAATCCAAACATGCCCAAAGTACTATAAGGCTCTAGGATAAAAATACTGTTTGTTTTATGAATCAAAAATACTATTTTAAGAACTAAAAATATTTAGGCGGACCAAAATCAGGACAAATTTCAGGAATTAATCGTTACTTTTAAATTTTAGGAAGTAAAACTAAAATAAAGTGGAATGAGTAAAAAGTGCACTAACCTATTTATATTTTACTGCATCTATCTCTTCTTTCTACCTTCTACCTCTACCAAGAACCCTTAAAATGCTATTCTTGGGTTTAGTCTAATCTAATAAGAGCCGGGTGCAAGCTGTAAGCAGTTCATATTGTGTTTTAGCTGCTATCATATGGGCACACATCTTTAGTTAAGCTCTGGTTTGATCTTCACAATCCCACGCTGAGTCAGAACTTCATATTTGAATTTGTGTTAAAATTGACGTTTAGATCTTAATTATGAAAAAAAACCAAAGAGAACGTACGTGTTATCAACTGCTCTCACCAATTCACGTCCCATTTACTTTCAAGAATTTAATTATAAACAATGAAGCTACTGAGCTCCCTATGTTTTAAGTAGGGATTTAACCATGGGATTGAACTCGTGAGGTCTGGAAGGAGAGTTCTCTCTTGAAGGTTCGATTGAACTCGTGAGGCCTGGAAGCACGCAGCTGGTCTGGTTTGCTCTTTTTCTTTTGAATCTTCAATTGCTGGTTTTGTTTGTCTACTTCCTGGTGTATTTTGTCTTGTAGTCCTCTTTTCTTCTTTGGGTTTGCTGGTTTTCTGATTGCTGGGAGGTTTTTTCTGGTCCCTTATTTCGATATGAAGCTGCCTTCTGGAAGTGACCAACATATCGCATATTGTCGGAATCATTTCGTTTTCGTTAAGGTTGTTGGTGATAAGAAACTTCACGGTGCTAAGCTTCAGTCCCTCATGTGCTTTTACCGGCATCTTAAAGGTATTGTTCGGATTGTTCAGCAAGCAGAGCACTTATTTGTGATTTTCTTCAGTCATCTGTAGAGCCATATTATACTCCTCCGGTTCTTATTATAAGACTCAATTTGACTTTTTATTTGGTCCTAATTATAAGACCCAATCCATTTTCTCTCTTATATTTATGTATTTTTTTCCAAGATAATCCTTCTAATAATGATAGTTTTAGCCAATATACTTAATTAGCAATGATATTTTAGGAATAACAACACTTATTTATTATAAATAACCAACTTAACTTACTTCTTTAATCTCCTCAAATAAGTCAATTGTGTCTTATAATTAGGACCGGAGGAGTATCAAGGAACGTGGATGTTGCAAGGATTTGCTCTTGCAGTTTATGAATGGCAGCCTGAGGTTCTTCTTCAAGTTCAAGATTCTTCTTTCCCTTTTATTCAAGTTTGGGTTCGTTTCTTTTTTTTGGAATTCCTATAGATTATTATACTGTGGCTGTAGCAAAGAAGCTGGGACATTCCTCGGGTATATTTTCAGAATTTGATGAATCCTGCCTGGTTCATGGAGGTGGCCTTCGCGTGAAAGTGACTTTCGGCTCTAGGATTCCAGTTAATGCGTGTCATGATTTCTATCAACAAAACCTGGCAAAAAGTGATGCCATTATTTCTACTGCAACTTATTAATGAGGTATGCATTAATTGCTTGGGTGTGGGCCACAAAAACTTTTATTGCTTTTTGTTTTTTCTTGTATACAAAATATAGATGGGTTAGATTCCAGGAACTTACCAGGATCAATACATATCTTCACGTTTAGAAAGTACTTACAAAAGTACTTACAGATTGCCCACCAATAAAGCCTTTATATCGGTAGCAGGCAATTCACCACTTTATAAGTTATGAGTCGACTCCTCACCAACTGAACTAACTCTTATTGATAAACTTTTATTGCTTTGAAGCAAGGGCTCACTGGTCATTTTAATGGGCCAAAATCTTCAACCGTAACTCAAAAAAGGTCCAGATTACAATTTTCGGAGGGAGATGGGTTTTATGCTGGCCCAATTTTCGCTTCAGTCAGATTAATGTTTATTGTCTGGGTTTGAATGGTTTGCTGCGCAGAGTGAGGCTGCGCAGAGTGAGGCCCCGGAGGGATCACGAGCCGAGTTTTGTAAGAGCTAGTTTTTTTCGAGCTTTCTGCCAAAAATATCTTAATTATCTCAATCAATTAATAGGATAGAATATATGATTTAAATTGAAACCTAAGATGTGAATATTTCAATCAATAGGATTGAATATATGATTTAGATTGGTCCTAATTTAGATTGAGCTTTCCGCCAAATATAAATTTTTTGAAGGAGCTTTTTGGCAGAAAGCTTACGTCAATGATCATTTTTTAAGATATGATTATCACAAAATAATATTCGCATACTATCAATCTTTTTATTATCTCAATCAATAGGATAGAATATGATTTAAATTGAAACTCATTTAAATCTTTATCATATATATTCACAATATTGGATTAGACGCTGAGTTATTCTAAAAATATTATTACAAATTAATATATTAAGTTAAATCATATGTATCCAATAGTTAGATTCTTCAATTTATATTATAGTATTTAATTAGATAAATAACTTCATTTAAGGCGGATTTAAAGTTTTAGTTTCATAAAATAATTTTAAATTTTATAGAGGTTTAGTATAAATTAAACATGTTTGCCCTCAAAAAATGCTAGTAAACCGATATATTTCTGTCTTATCTTTCCGTTTTTTTTTAAAAAAAAAAAGTGCACGATTATATATCCACAAATATCTGTATTAGGCTATTAGCTTGACCGCGTAAACATTGTGTCTTGCTCCAGCGGACAGGCATTTAATGGATTCGTTTGGTTGCCGATGACTGAAGTTTCACGTTCATCGTTTTCCCGAATCCCCGTTACTCCAATTCCTTTCCTCTTCTCTTGTGCTTTCGTGCGATTGAATCAAAAGGTAATTTTATCGCTGGATTCAGAATTGGAACTGAATCATCTGCTTCACTGAAATGGGTCTCTTCGATTCTCTACTCAATTGGCTCCGCAGGTATGCTCTTTCTTCACCTTCTTCTCTCTTCATTAACTTCTGGCACCATGCCTCCCATATTCTGATTGTTCACAACAAACTATCATGTAGTCGCCTCGATATTCCCTTTTGAATCCGACCTTAGAAAACAACTTCGACCCAAGTTGGTGCTGCTACTTGGCTGTGAAATATGATGATGCCTAGTTGTTCTGGGAAAGCGAGATTTTGTTTCGTAAACGATGACCCTTTTTGAATCTTGGTCTGAAGCCGTAATCATTCGCTTTTTGGCTTCATAACAGAACTCACTGAAAATGAAAACCCCCAATAGTGGTAAAGCTCCTTCATGTTATCAGAAAATATTGTAAAAGCTGGGTTTTTTGTTGTATGATATATTTAGCATTAACAATTGCATCATCAGTCTTCAAATTGATGTCCTTCAGGTTCACAATAAATATTAGAAAGTTTTGGATGTTCTTGTTGACTTGCGATGCTGGAACCAATATGTGCTTTTACGATACTTACCTTCGAGTGAAGCAAAATATAGGTTCATAGAGGCTGTTTAGTTATTCTGAAGTTGGGACAATCTTCAACTGGACCCATAACATTAACCCACCCTTTTTATTATTTTGAGCAGAATTGGATTTGGGCATTTAATTGTGCACAATGTTCAAAGTAGATAGATTTTCTAAGTTAGCACTGAGGCTGTGGTTTATGATGTGATTTTCTTGCATCTTTCGTCAAAAAAATGGCTTTTTCATATTTCAATGCGAAGTTGTTTTAACCGCACTGCTGGAGGCAACATTTTATCCTGTGGCATCTTGATATATAGCTATCATAACTTCAACAATGTGCGCACCTCTGGTGGTTAATAGGAAGTTGATAAGCAACCAGCAAGCTTTTTTGCATGAAATTTCTTCTTTTTTCTCCCCTCTTCTGGATAAACATAACCATCAGGTTAAATTAATGTGTTAATCTATGGGGACAGAATAATGTTTTAATGCATTAAGTTTCTTTTTCTCCAAATACGTCATTTAACTTTTAGTTCATATAATAACATGTATCCAAACTGTCAACTTCATTGACAGGCTTAGTTGACAGATCAAAGCGTCTTTCATGGTTGACAAAGTTGACAGTTTATGGTGCATATGATGTGAACTAAAATTTAAATGACCAAACATACCACCAATTTCTCAAAGACACTGGCACTTTATATGTCAAACTTCTCATAGGTATCGGCACCTAGGATGGGAGATATGACCTTTCTAAGTACTAAATATACTTCGTTCATTATCCATAAATGACGTTTGTGGATGTCCCCCCCCCCCCCCCCCAAAAAAAAAAAAAGAAAGACAAAGAAAGAAAGGAAGAAAGAAAGAAAGGCAAAAAAACAAAACAAAGCAAAGACTTTTTCTGGGAAGCCTTTAATCAAATATAACCGTTCAAGACCGCAAGCTTGACGTCTAGCACAAGATGTTACAGAATCATGGAGGAATAAAATGCTTGAAAGAGACTATTTTTTCAGAAAACTAAAGTAAAAAAGTTTGAGTTTTATTTCTGATATTGGTATTCAAATATTTTCCACAGTTTAACATCCATTCAGCTTCTTTAAATGAATATTACATTATGTGGTCTGTATGTTTAAGCATAGCACCCATTCCTTTAAGCCCCTTTTTAAATCTAAATGTTCATCTTTGTGCTAGTTTATTTTTCAAACAGGAGATGGAACTCTCCCTCGTAGGCCTTCAGAATGCAGGGAAGACATCTCTTGTCAATGTGATTGCTGTAAGTTAAAGCAACCCTGAAAATCCATTCTGTTTATACACATATCAATTCTTGTCTTTTGGTATTGATCTTTTGATGTTTACCAGACAGGGGGTTACAACGAGGACATGATTCCAACTGTAGGTATCTCTATTTCAGACAAAATTTGATGATTTATTTGAAGGTTGTAAACATGTCATAGAAACCCATTCTTGCTATGGAAACCCAGGTTGGATTCAACATGAGAAAGGTGACAAAAGGTAATGTCACAATAAAGCTTTGGGACCTTGGAGGACAGAGGAGATTCCGAACAATGTGGGAGCGTTACTGTCGTGGTGTGACTGCTATAGTGTAAGCCTTTATCTTCATATTGTCTCTTCACAAATTATATGCATACATAAAGTAGGCTTATGTAGTGCAATTGCAACTGGTAGTTACGTTTCTTCTACTTTTTAAAGGCTTTTGGGTTTGGATCAGAACAAAACTGGCCTGAATGTAGACCAACTTAAAGCCATTTAGTACTTCATGACAATTTAGACTCGAAAACAAGGAACAATAATATGCAAGTACAAATTTTATATTCTACGTGGTGCAAAACATAAATGTGATGCTTAAATCCTTTCCCTAATATCTTTCTGTATCAAAAGGAAAATACTTAGGAAGTACAGACGTAGAATGATCACCTAGTCAGAGACCAATGTTGACGCATGATTTGATATTTAAGTTGATATGAACGGAAAAGCAGGCATCAAATGCCTTAATGATCTGTCAAATTGCCTAAGACCATGCCAAACAGTAGTAGTTCTAGAAGTTTAAGCTTTCATGAAAGTATTTTAGGTATTATTTTAAATCTCAAAATTCCTGTACATATTACAAATTCCACCAGTATGCAGCATGTTATCCACTGCTGTTTGTTTTCTTGCTAGAATTTCAACTTGAAGATTAGAAAACCTAATGGTTGTATAATAGCTATTATTGCTGATTAAAACGAACATTCAGGAAGCCTAATGTTACATGAGGACTGGGGCTTTTTTATTCATACTCCTAGCGTTTTTATATTGTAGCCTTTGTAAACTAATTGGGAATCAGAATTTTCAATGCATTTAACATATTTTGATTTCTTCTGTTGATGAATGCAAACACAGGTATGTTGTCGATGCAGCAGATAGAGACAGCGTTCCTATATCACGAAGTGAGCTACAGGAGCTCTTGACAAAACCTTCCTTAAATGGGATCCCTTTGCTTGTTCTTGGAAACAAAATTGACAAGTCAGAAGCTTTATCCCAGCAAGCATTGATAGATCAACTGTGAGTTCAAACAACTTCATGAAATTTTTCTGAATCTCATGGATTAATCACTCTTGTTATTCAATTTCAGAGCCATGCTTAACCAGCAAATGCTTTTCTGTTTTCCTCTTTGTGTGATTTCAGAGGGCTTGAATCAATAAAAGACAGAGAGGTTTGCTGCTATATGATTTCATGCAAGGAATCCATAAACATAGATGTTATCATTGACTGGCTTATCAAGCACTCAAGAACTGCAACATGATCTTTTTAGAGTTGGCATGCCATTTCACTTTTGATCGTAGAAGCAATCGAGCACGGTGTTGCAGAAATCGCTTCCTTGGTTCTGGAGTTGTGATTAATAAGCGGCTTTGTGCAGTAGATGGAACTACTGAGTTAAGTATGCTTCAATGCATCGTTCTCATGTTCAGTAGGAAATGAATGAGATCATGAACCTGGTTGCCTGGTTTGTATAATTTTATTTATGGTTAGTTAACTTATCTAACTGAAGACTATTCCTTCTTTTTTTTCTTACCATGAGTGAAATATTTCACAATCTGAAAGTGGTAATTCTCAAGCGAATGAGGAAGGTGATGGCGTTGAAGGTTTATGATGATTCACAAGATGATTGTATTTATATTTACAAATTTTATTAAATCATGGCATACTTAATTCTATTCCCATTTATTTCGAGAATATCCATTGGAGCGTTAATAATGTGTCTGGGGATTAACTCACTGATCATCTTAAGACATTTGGTCATTAGGGTAAATACTCAATCAGCCCTTCACATTGGATGATTTATTTGATACCAATTGTCTACTAATCAAGCATAATCAGTAATAATTCAGTTCCTTGAACATGTGAGTACAAAAGCTTAAATTCATATGCCCCTGTTAATTGAATCATCGGGTGATCTGTATGCACGTCCCTTTCAACTATATTTATGAAGTAGGCCTAGATTAGCAAATCTATAAAGAAGAAAAAATATACAAATATCTTCTAAGCTAATCAATTGCAAAGAAATAAATTGGATTTAAACTAGGTATGTTTTAAAATAAATAGTGTATATACATTCAAAAAAATAATAATTTTTATATATTAAGAAGCTGTATAATGCGCAGAGGCCAAATTTTAACTCAGATACAATTTAAGATAAATTGTACAATTTTTATGGAAATATATTTTTTGTTGGTTGATGGGTCAAATCTAGAATATTTTTCAATAAACTTTGAAGGTTCACCTAATTAACTTTAATTATTCTCGCCAAGTACAATCCTTTAATCATTCACTTCACTAATCACCTACTTGATTGAAAAGGAAAAAAATGGGGTTTAGTCATTGGACGCCCTAATCAGTAACCAACGTCCAGAAGCGTCTTCACATTTTTTACTAAATTAAACACCTTTATTCCCTCTCAAATTTCATGCGTTTGCTCTTTCATTTTTGAAAAAACACAAGAAGAAAGTGATCTGCCTACTTTTTGTGGGACCGACATCCATTAATGAATTTCAGAAATAATAACAGAGTAACAACCTTTTTCACAACCACGAATTTATGTTCTATAAACTGTTATTTTCTTAAAAATCACATATATTAAATATTAAATGGGAATAGAATTTGAAAGTAATTAAATTTTCAAATAAAATTGATAAAATTTAAGATTTTTTTATTATAAAACATGTTAAAAATGACTTATAAATAATATAGAAATTGTATATAGTAAAGGATGCAGTAACTCTGTTATGAGCTAATCTCACTTCTTTGGCCGAAAACCAAAAAAAAAAAAAAAAAAGAGTTAATCCCACTTCTGAAAACAACTGAATAACTCAGTTTCAACTGATTAAAATTGCTTCAGAAGCGAAAGCAAGGCCTTACGTTATCGCTTTTGCACCTTTTTCTTTTGTATGAAGTCCCATAATTTTTGGCTTAGAAGTTTGAAACAAACAGTCTTTACAGCCAAGTCTCAAAGAACCTAAGTTGTCACAAAAAGCAACGTGACAAGCATCTTTTAATCTATAATCTATAATTACATTATAATAGTGCCGTGCTTCAGTCTGAAGAAGAATAAAGGAAGCTCAAAACTAAACTCTCACTCTAAAAGAAGTGCTGCAAACTAAAATATGAACGCTTCATAGAATAAATATGCACCAAAAGGGAATGAACTCAGGACAGAAAAATGTGTTTTTGAATTTTGACCACCACCTTGGAATGTGGACACAAATACAAATCCAAAGCTATCTGAGAAAAGAGGTTATTTGATCTCACAAAATCTTCAAATCAAAATAAAAGTACAAAGGAACAATTGTTCCAAAGCCTGCTCTGTCTTTTTCTTTTCACATGACAATGTCTTTTGGAGAATGGATCCTTCTACAAAGCTCAAGTGTTTGAATGCTCAAAGATTATTACATTCTCATATCCTCTCGCTGAAGAGAAGCCGTATCCTGATTTACACATTAAAATTTTGTTTCCAAGAATTACTACTACTCACCAATAAAATGGTCAACGGTGAGTAGCGAAGAACTTCAACTTGTAGCACCTGAAACCGGTAGTTGCAACCATGAACTGAACTATGGAAATGGATATACGAATTAGTTTAGTTATTCTTTAAAGACAAATGTGTATAATCATTGACTTTTAGGAATTAGCACTAAATAAACCATTTATTTTAGAATTAACTTGTCAATTAACTCAATCATGAGAGGAAGGATTATAGCACCCTTTTCCACTTCTATAGAAATCTTTATACAAATCACTGCATCTCGGGTACGCATGGAATTCCTGATTGTAAGGGAAATTTCAAATGTATCATTAAATAAAACAAGTATGGGCGGCGATCAATGCATGAGTCCCAACAAATTATTCACATTTCACACAAATTCCTAGAACAATAAAAATAGTTAATCCTCATCAAGAATGTAATGTAAACAGACTGGGGGAATAGATAGAGAGCCCCCCAAGTAAGAGACTCTGGTGAACAACAAAAGGACTAAGGGGAGACAAAGAGATCGTAAACTGCTGGATTCTGTAATACCTAAATGAATTAACAAACCAGACTATCTTATGCATCCCAAAAACCAGGGCCATAATGAAATAATGGAGGTCTCACTTAAATTTGGTATCCAGGTGGGGAATATCCACTATCTGGATCTGTCAATGACTGAATCTTCTCTTCCTCTTTCTCTAAACTGACACGACAAATCTCCTCAATTCTGCTCGCCACCACATCCATTGCGGGTCGATTGTCAGGATACTGTTCAGTGCATTCAAGTGCAAGCTGCAAGAGCTTGACCATCTCCTCCTCAACATTCTGGTATCTGAGAAGCTCCATGTCAAAAACCTCGGTGTTCCACTCCTCTTGAACAATAGATTGGACCCATCTTGGGAGGTCTACCCCCTCTTCATTTAACGAGGAATGTGTTGGAGCTTTCCCAGTAAGAAGCTCCAAGAGCATTATACCAAAACTGTAGACATCTGCTTTTTGGGACACTTTGCGAGCATCTGTTACCTCTGGGGCTCGGTAACCAGAAACACGGTTGGGGGTTGAAGTTGGGAGTGCAAGATGAGCAAGGCCAAAGTCAGAAACACGAGCTTCAAAAGATTTGGTGAGAAGGATGTTTGATGACTTAATATTTCCATGGGAGGCAGATGGGCCATGTGAGTGTAGGTATGCAATCCCACGGGCGGCACCAAGGGCAATGCGAGACCTTGTTTCCCAGTTTAGTGGTGTTCGGCCAGCTCCGTTATTAGCTGTAACAGGAAATCAGAAAAATTTATCTTGAAGCAGATTAACAATGTCAAATAATGAGGCTGCAAGCGATGGAGTATTTCAACAGAAATAATGTTTATTGCAGCCAGCATTGCCGTTAGAACTAGTCCAAATGCAGGCAGGAGGTGGAAATAAAGGCATACGGATGCCCGGCTGACTCGTGACAAAATCAGTCACCTTGAGACAGCGCACAGATATCATGGAGTAACTTCTAAATTCCAGAGCATTATAATATCACTTATCAGCATTATCTCAAAGGAATTTCATACATTAAAGTATTTAAGTACAACCCTGAGAAACAATACTTTGCGGAGTCGACATTGTAACCAAGAAAATCAAGATCAAGAATAAGCTAAGATACGTTTTCAACCTAGAGCAGGCAGACAATTCAGGTTCATCTGAAAATGCTTAAGACATAAGACTAAACTCTCTTGAATGGATATAATGTTTCACCAAACGTGCAAGTGATTCTACACACCTGATATCATATTAATGAAAGCCCAACAGCCACAAGATGTGATGCAAAACCGAAAGATCTGACCTATGCAGCCTTACTCTAGGCAAGTCTATGGCGTGGAAATTGGAGTTAAAACTTGCACGAAATGAAATTTCAAAACATACACGAGGAGACATAATGTAACAGAGTAGACAAGAGAAAGGGCACTTATTCATGTGATTAGAAAAGAAAGAACAAAATTATGAAAAAGAGGGCCAGACCAATGTTGTACCAAAAATGACAACAAAGAAACAAGATACTTACCATGCAAAAGGGCAGATAAGCTTCCCATGGGCATGTAATCATAGGCAAGAAGCTTTTCTTCGTTGCTATAATAGTAGGCCCTGAGCGGGACTAAGTTATCATGAATCATCTTCCCCACTTGCTCAATTTTCTCTCTGAATTCGTTTTCGGGAGCAGTTACATCCTTCAACCTCTTCACTGCCACCACCACCCCAATTTCCAAAGTAGCCTTGTATGTGGTTCCAAAGGTGCCCTTCCCCAGTACTTCTGCTGATGCCCTTAATAAATCCTCAAGATCAAACACTTTGCTGACATTACCGAAAAACACCAATCTCTTACTCCTACCAGTCTTAGCATCGCCACCTCTGGCTGTTGCTGAATAACCTGCTCCAGTAGTCTCAATATCTCTAGTTGTCTTTTCTTGAGGAATTTCAACCTCAACGCTCTTACCTGGAGTTACATCCTTCGAATCCTTGTCTTTCCTGCTCCTCCTCCCGCACAAGAAGAACAAAAGAAGTAAAATCAACAGAAGCCCGACCACTGAACCAATTACAATTCCTGCAATTGCTCCACCAGATAACTTCTTCTTCTTCTTCTTTGCACCACCCTCCGTTCCAGGGCATTCTTGCAAAGGCTTCCCGCAAAGAAACAAATTCCCCGAAAATGCACTAGCATCTAAGTGCGAGAACTTCGCGGGAATGGACCCATTGAGCCGATTGGACGAAACATTAAACTGATCAAGAGGAGCAGTCAGGTTAGGAATGGACCCTGTGAGCTGGTTGTTGTCCAAAAGGAGGGTGTCTAACCTCGTGAGGTTGTTAAAGTTAGGCGAGATCTCACCACTGAAATTGTTTTTAGCTAAACTCAAACGAACCAAGTTCCGCATACCATAAAGGAAATCAGGGATTTCTCCAGAGAAGAAATTCGCCTGCAAATAAAGGTTTCGAAGGTTAACAAGATTAGCAAAGTCGTTCGGAATCGGCCCAGAGAGAGCGTTATAGCGAAGAGACAGAGTCTGGAGCTCAGTGAGATTCCCAATTCCCAGTGGAAGTCTCCCAGAAAGACCCATACCAGGAAGCCGCAACGCAGTGACCCTGTTGTTTGGAGAATTTTCACAAAACACCCCCGTCCATAAGCAAGGACTCGTCTGAGAGAGGTTCCAGAGAAGGGAACGGCCAC